CCCCCCCAAGCCTGTCGCGCCTGGCTCACTTGTTGTCTTGGTCTTTTTCGTTTTTCATGCTTTGTTTTTTGGGGTCCCCCGGCCACCCGCCCACCGCCCACCCATCATTGCATTATTATTTTTTGGTGGAAGGGGAGTGACTTGCCGTATTCATGAAAGACTGGCCCCCGCACTTTTTACTCGCACCCCGTTCATTGTCAACACAATAATAACAACACCACATCCTCTCATTTCTCAGCACATACATCAGTCTTCTTGTTGTACAATGCCCACCGACACGTCAAAGGCTTGGGGAATTATGGTAGACAAACACGAGAATTGCAACAGCAGCACAACAGTTGAAAAGACAGACAACAGCAGGCCTTTTTTGTCTGTTGCTGCATATGCATGGGTGGGTGGTATGCATCGCACAGTACAGACAGTATAAGCGGCATATGCATGCATGTGGTGTGGAATACATCGTATAAGCGTGTTACCTTTTTGGAGTCACTGCGTAGTCAGTCGTAACTTGAGCCATAAGGTAGATGGCAGCACAATTCTGAAGCTTTAGCTTCAGTCTCATCGTTCGACGTCACGACTCGGCCTTGACTGCTCCTTGTCTGTTTCGCCATGGGCACGGCCGGTTGAACAGCGAAAGAGGGTCCTGCGTGCTGCGCGCCACCATCTTTTATTTGTTGCGTTTGTTTGTGATTTTTTTCTTCCTGATGAGTGACCGTTAAACGTTTTTACACATGCGGTTGCTGCTGTTGTTATGCTCGGAAGGAATATGCTGCAAATGTCGTATCGTCTCTGTCGCTTGAGCTGCACGCTGTGCTCGCGTAGGAGATGCGAATTACTTTTTCTCTACTGTGTCGATATCGATGAAGAAAAGCAACGGCAGCACGGCTGAAGATACAGCCAACAACAGACGGTCCGCCTTAGTTTTTTTTCTATTCTCTTGCTTTGCTGCATAGTCTATGCATGATGGGTGGTAAAAAAACATCGTAAGCGTGTTGCACCTTGAGTTTGCTGCGTGGTCGCCTTATCGAGATGGCAGCACAATCTTATTAACGTAGTGAGGTATGATAACCAAGAGTAGCGGTGCGCATCTATCGCGACGGCAAGCGTATTGAGATAATATTAGTTCGTCCGTGGTGCTTCTAGACATGTTCATTTTTTGTTTTGCCAGACTTCAAACCACAAAGGAAAGAAAGTCTCCACAGTTCGGAAACGGCGACTGACTATGTTTTGTTTGTTATATTTGTTGTGTTTGTTGTTGCTGAGCGCACATCGGATATCGCCGTTCGTTACACACACGTGTTTTACAGCCTTCGGTGGGCCACAGGGACGAGAGTGAGTGAGTGTCTTCTCGAGAGTTAATGCCTTCTCGGCGCTCTCTTCTTTTGGTCTACAGTACCTGTCTCTCTCTCGCCTGTCGCCGGTGGGGTCCCAACAACATCGAACGTCAACCAACCGCAATCGTTTTGTTTCTTGCTGAGTTAGGCTACCCGTGTACCCGGCTGCTGCATGTGAGGCGATGGGCGCTGCCTCTTTACGTGAAAAACAGTGGGCATGGCCCCTACTGTTTGCTGCATGCAGTGCTGTGTGACAGCTTCCAGCGGTTCAGAGCGGCGACGGTGGCTTTTCTATGCTCTCTTTCGCCAACACCCGGAAGCCTGTCGCGTCTTGCTCACTTGTCTTTATTCTCCCTTCTTCCTACTATTTTTCTTGTTTTTCATGCTTTGCTTTTTGGGGTCCGCTGGTCACCCACCCACCCATTATTTCAGTTCTAATTTTTGGTGTTAACTTGCCATGTCTATAAAACTGGGCGCACGTTTCGCAATTCTGAAGCTTTTCTGAAGTCTCATCGTTCGATATCCGTTCGGTGGAGAACCGCAAATAAATCATGATCCGTCCCCGAGCGTGAGCAGCTTCCGCCTCCTGTAGCCGGCAAAAGTCGACCTTCACTGTACCTTGTCTGTTTCGCCATGGGAATGGCCAGTTGAACAGCGAAAGAGGGTCCTGCGGGCTGCGCGCCACAACCTTTTTTTTTTTGTGATTTTCTTCCTGGGTGACCGTTGTACACAACATGCGGCTGCTACTGTACACATACATGCGGTTGCTGCAGTATATGCCCGGAATGTGCCGCAAACGTCGTAAAGTTATTGTCTCTGTCGTTTTGGGCTACACCCGTTGCTCGCGTCTGCTCGTTATCTACGAAGAGCAACGGCAGCACAGTTAGAGCGACAAACAACAAAATTGGTCGATAAGAAGCACCCTTAGTTTCTTGTGTTTGTCTTGCTGCGCGGCATGGGTGGTATGCATCATCGATCGGTAAGCGTGTTGCTGGCTTACCTCTGCTGCGTAGTCGTAATTTGAGCGATAAGTAAGGTAGGCAGGACAATCGTATTTACGTAGTGAGGTATGATGACCAACAGTCAGTCTGCTCGTTCGTGCAGCGGTGCGCATCTATCGCGGACGGCAAGCGCATTGAGATGATGGTTCGTCCGTGGTGCTACAATCATGTTCTTTTTAGTTCTCACTTCCTACAGTAGTACCACAAAAGATAGTCCACAGTTCGCAAACGGCGACTATGTTTGTTCGTGTGTTGCTTGTCGTTGCTGAGCCCACATCAGATATCGCCGTTCGAGACACATCATGTCTGACAGCCTGCGGTGGACCAGAGGGACGAAAGTGAGCGTCTTCTCGAGAGTTAATGCCTTTTCTTCTCTCCGATCTCCTCTTTTAGTCTTCTACCTCTCTCTCTCTCTCTCGCCTTTCGCCGGTGGGGTCCCAACAACATCGAACGTGAACCGCAGTCGTTTTGCTTCTCGCTGATAGAGGCTCCCCATTCATCCGGCTGCTGCATGTGAAGCGATGGGCGCTGCATCTTTATGTCAAGCAATGGACTTGGGCCCTAGCCAATGTTTGCTGCATATATATGCAGTGCTATGTGAGAGCTTCCAGCAGTTCAGCGCGAGCAGCGACGACGGTGGTTTTTCTGTGCTCTCTTTTGCCTCCTCCCTGAAGCCTGTCGCGTCTGGCTCTCTTGTTCTCGCTTCTTTCTTTTTTGTATTTTTCATGCTTTCTTTGTTCTTTGTTTTTGGGGTCCCCCGGTTCCTGTGTGCTCATCGGGCGTCTTCTTGGTGTCTACCTTGATTGTTACCCCCGCTGAAAAAATCGAAAGCTTCAGACAGGCAACGCGACGATACTCGTCGATTTGCCATACACAATCATAATTGTGATGACAAAAACACACAAATTCGACAAACAGCAGACCCTGCTAAATCGGCTGATAGAGCACGCGTTTCCCTACCCCGTATGGCGTTGACAACGAACGTGTTTGACCAGGATCGCAAAGAATAGAATTTGGGTTTTCGTCAACTTCGTCGCCAACGAGTTTACCGCGGTTCCTGGATGAACACGAAGCGGGAGTCAAAAGCTGTAGAACTGCAAATGCTTGTGAGCTCGTCGCGCAAACGCACCTTGTTTCCCCACGCGTCCATGATCGTAGACCAATTCTCGAAGCCTTCTGGCACGACGGGCGGGGGGTTGAGCTGCTGGTATTTTGTCACGGCGGGCCGCGGACCCTGCGCTCTCGCAAACAATGAATAGTTACGGGGAGTCAGTTCTGCCTAGCTTGCTAGTGAAGAGGTTGCGCCGGCTGCGAGCACGACAACGTGCACGGCGCTGTCTGGCTGATGCGGTTATTTCGGCGTGCCCAAATTGTTCCACCCAATCAACGGAGTATATTCGGGATGGGTGCAAAATTATACCATGATTCAATACTCGGCCCACTAGAGTCATGCGGCAGATCATGTAGGCGAGTGTCCCGACTGGAGAAAACACAGACGCAGTTTTCTGCAACAGCAGCCTGGGGTGTGAGCCATGCGCAGGCGCGCACCAAAATGCACGATTACAAATAGCGGGTAAGGTGCGCACACATGATGACGGTATCAGACCCCGCTGGTTGGAGTGAGCCGACAGAACACGACTCACAATCGTCCAGAAGAACCGCCACTTTGGGTCAGCCTCAGGGGGACACAGAGTCAACGGTCGATGTCCGTCCGGCAACTGACTGATGCGCTCGCAATGCGCGCGTGGCCGTTCCGTGCCCTCAGGTGTAACGCCAACTTGGTAGGAAAACTTGCCGATTTTGTTCCAGGCGAAGGGGGGGGGGGGAGGCGTGGGCAAAACGGCCGGCGGATTGTGTCATGACAGGAGTAACAAGAAACAGCTCGTTGCTTTGCTGAGCATGGCTTGAGAGGAAACTGACTTGACCGTCAAAGGGGTCTATTAACCCCCACCACGATGGCGAAACCCGCACAGAGCTCCATGCAATATATTCCATATCTACTTCACCACAGCAGAATACTTTCACTCCGGTAGAGTATTCACTACAAACCGACCCCTTTTGGTTCAGAGCATCCAGCCACCAACCACCTGATCGTAGTACACGAAGAAAGCTGCTATTGCGGTTCTCCGCAATATCAATGTGGTGGTATAGCCAGCGCAAACAGTACTGGGCGCACCACATATCGACACACACGCACACACCTCTGGCCTTGCATCCTTGACACCGTCGCTCTGGGCGTAGTACTTCTCCATCTGGTCGAGAAATTGATTGTTGTCTACCTCAGATACCCTCGGGTCTCGGACGAGGACAATTCCAAACGCCTATTAGTGTGCGTCGGTGGATGGAAGGGTGCATTGAAGGGCGGGAGAGGGCACCCTCGGCTCAGGTATCGGGGGTAGCGGCGACACAGCATTGACTTTACAGCCAGTCAGTCTGGACTGTGCGTCAAGTTGAGTGTAACAGCGTTGACTTACAGTCAATCTGGACTTGTGCGTCAGAAAATAAGGGAAAGCACCTTGGCGGACAGATCAGAGCAGTCTGATTCTTCTCAATTCGGTGTGCATGTACAGTCAAAATGTATACCAGGTATAGAGGATCTGCACAAGTTATCACAACTTCGCCCGTGGGACTAGTCGGGTCACACGTGTGGTGGGGGTATCTATTTCAGAGACGCAGAGAAAACATGAAACATGTGTACGAACCAGCTGTGGGTAAGTCAGACGAAGTTTGCACTGCAGCGCGGAGTCGATGGGACGTAATAAGTAAGTAGCCTTGCAGGATTTTTCAGTAAGTAAACATGTTTGATAAAGGATGCAATCGGGGGGGTGGGTTGGGGGTGGGGTTAGGGTCTGCGTATGCATACCCCCTCCCTATTCTATCCCCTCATGAACTTATTTCTCGCGAAGGCGGTCCAAATTCACCACTTGGAGCCAGTCCTGCTGTCCCTAGCTACATTCGCTGCAGTCAGTTTTTTTTTTTTTGCAGCATAGTAGTGGTATGGCATATTGCTTACCTAGAACCATTGACTTTCTGGCGGGAGGTTGTGTACGACAACAAATCGCACATATTATACGCTGCCAATGCAATGCATGACTGCTACAGACTACACATGTCCAGCATCGCGCATGGATGGTCTGGTGCCGTCACTAAATTTCATGTAGTTGAAAGAAGTCAAATTAGTTGCCCGAAAAATCCACAAAAAAAATATCGCCTCCTCACATGAAGTGCTTCTGCCAACTTGCGGCAGTCATCCCCATTGCCTTGTGCGCCCCCTACCCATCCCGAGAGATCCACCACTGGAATCTCAAATGTTTCCATGGGGAGCGTAGACAGGTTTGCGTTGCAGTGCTGTGGTGCGGAGCTGCGGAGTGGTGAGTGCGGCGCAACTTGCTGCGGAGGCGACGGGGGCAGCGCAGAATCAGCGAGGGGGGGGCGTACCGGCCGGTCTTCTCGCATCTCAGCTACAACTTGACTGCTCGCTTCGTCTTGGTCATTCAGCTTGGCTCTGCCTGCGGCGGGCTGCTGTTAGAAGAGAGAGAGAGAGCGAGGGGAGAGCGAGAGACGCTACACGTGTGTGGAAGCGTTGGGATTTATTGGTAGCTCAAACATGTCGCAACAGCAAGACGATGAGGGGCTCCCTAGTCAGCTTACACACGCCCTCCTGAGCGAGGACTCTCGGTCGGAGCTGCCTCCGCGACGACAAGCCAACATGCTCACTCCAGCTCCGGCGGTAGTGGCAGCGGCGTCTGCGTACGCGCCCTTCGCAGCCCGTCCTGTGGCTGCTCCTGTGGCTGCTCCGGGTCCTGTCAGAACAGCACCGGTGGCGGCGCCTACGCTTCCCCAGCCGCAGCAGCAGCAGCAGCAGCAGCAGCAGGTGGTGGCACCTCAACAGCAGCAGCAGGCTGCCGCAGCGGCGCAACCGCAGCAGCAGCAGGTGCGACAGGGTGCCGCTGTTGCTGTCCGGTGGCAAAACAAGAACGAGACCGCGGCACAGACCGGTGAGATTGAACCCCCATTCCCCAAGACTTGACGTGTATGTACACGTTTTTCTTTTGGGTACAACAACAGCAGTGGAGCGAACCCCTGATCTGTCGTTTCTCGCAAAGTAGGTTTCCTCAAAGGTGGGTCAACCTCTCCCCCCCTAGCAGGCGGGACACGACCACGAACACACGTAGACAATATCTGGAGTTCGGGTATACCGTATTCGACACAAGATAACAGCCCACGCATACCACATCAGATGTACATTAGAGCTGTTATTTTTTTTCGGGTCAACAAGCCAAATACATTATTCTGGCATCATTTGTACTCTGTGTAGGGCGACGCTGCTGCCGTAAGGTACGTTCCATACCGCCATCTTACACATCACACCCTCCAAACAGCCGTCATCACATCGTGTGATAAGTTTTTCAAGAAGCCCAAATGTAGTGACCGGGAGGTGGTTTCCGGTGTCGTTGCGGTAACCACTTTTGGTGTGGTTTGCCGAGAGTAGTATGCATATATATTGTACCTTCGGGAAAGCAGCAAAACCAGGGTCATGATGGAGCTGAGCACCAGCACCCGCGCTACCGTTCTTACTTCCGTTGCTCGACTCTCATCCCCCGCAATTTCCGCCTTTCTTGCTTGGCCTGCTCGTTGCCCTGCCCCGCCTGAATACCGCTACGGAACCCCGATTTGATTATGATGGTGCTGCTGCTATGCTGGTATACTTCGGGCATGTCTACACGCATACCGATCAACGTGAACGGTGACGGGGCTCGCCTGAAACATGTCATAAATGAATGCCGTTCCGGCGGTACGTCGCGATGTGACACGCTGGCATCATATGGCGACCTACCCCGACAGCGATCTGGAACTGCGTGTACTACAACGTCCACACGTACCAGCAGAGCATCCTCTCTGAGATGGGCACCCTCATAGCCGCAGCCAACGCCAAGGCGAACCCCGGCGGAGTCAACGTCGCCCCCCAGAAGGTCGTCGACCATCTGAAGGCCGCCGTGAAGGTACGTGCCCGTTGTCGGCGTTGCTGGTGATTATCGCATGTACTCGCAGAGAAATCTCGGACGAACAGATTGCGCTGCTCGTCGTGTGTTCGGGCGTTTCGAGCGAGTTGTCTTGCGTTTCACAACATGCCCGGGTGTTGTAGGTGTTTCGACCGACGCGTTGTATGCCGTCATCCCGATGATCTCCTCGTCGTTTTTTGGAACAAAGAAACAACACGCCCTCTCGTGTGAGTGTGGTGTACATTTTCCCTACTCCCTACCCCCAAGTTGCGTGTCCGGTTCTGTCGCCGCAAGCAGAGCTGGTGATTGATGCCTCCCAACCCTCCCGATGACCCTTTCACCACCCGCGCATAGAGGATGAACGTGAGGCTGATCGAGCTGCGCTCGGGGAACAGCACGAAGATCGAGTACAACACGACCATCATGTCCAAGCTGATCACCACGCAGAACAAGATTATCACCGACGAGCTCGAGCAGAAGCTGGGGATGAACCTCGCGAGCCTGGCGCCCCACTTGGACCTAGAAGGGGAGCTGAAGAAGAGGTCCGATACGGCCTACCTCGCCGTAAAGAACAAGGTGGACCGGGCGAAGAGGAGCGAGGCCCACAAAGCGGCGATGAAGGCGGCGTCTGCTAACCCCCCCGGCGGCGCTGGCAGCAGCAACAGCAGCCCGGCGGTGGCGATGGCGGCGGCGGCAGTAGCGGCGGCTTCGATGCCACGACCGCCCCAGGTCGTGGCGACGCCGGCGGCGGCGGCGGCTCCTGCGGCTGTGCCGGTGAAGATGGAAGATGTCAAGCCGACGGTGGTGACGAAGCCAATGGCGACACCTGCTGTGCCAGCGAGCCATCACGTTGTCCAGCAGGTTATATCTACGAGACCGCTTTCCATTTTTGTCGGTTTGACACTGAACATACGATGATGTATCCGATGTCGTTCTTGGAGCGGAATGTGTCGAGGACGAGGGGGAAGTGAGACGTATGGCTGTGTGCAGGCGTTGACCTTAAGTCTCTCGAGGCTCGCCGAAAGCGACACGATACGTACACCCTTTACTCTTTGTAGGCGCCAAGCATCATGTGTTTTCGACTTTGGTCCATCCTTAGGCCTCCGTGTCTGACCTCATTTTCTTCACACCCCACCCCCGCCCCCCGCCCCTCATTTTGATTCGATAGGCCCATCTCGCGCCTCAACAACAAGCGGTGGTGGCGCCGCAACCGGTGGCACCCGCCCAAGTCAAGCTGCCCCCTGCGTCCGTGGCCGTAGCCGGCACTGCATCGGCTCCGCTTGTCATTGGTGCCTCTCCTGACCCTACTCCAGTTGCTGCTGCTGCTCCTCCTGCTCCTGCGGCTGCTCCTGCGGCTGCTCCTGCGGCTGCTCCTGCTGCTGCCGCGACCACCGCTGCCGCCGCCGCTACTCCTGCTGCTGCACCGGCTGGTGTTGCCCAACATGGGCAGACCCCGGTGTACGGCGGGCAAGCGCCTGGCGCCGCTCCCCCTCACGGTGCCGGCGCTGCTGCTCAGGTATGAGCGCGCCTGCTCTGCTCTGCTACACTGCTGTCGTCGATTTTAGCTACGTTTGTTTCAGTCCTTATGTCCCCGACAGGGGAAGGTATCTTTTTTTTTTCCGAAGTACCTCTCGCCGACGCAAGGTGTCGTGGTTGTGGCGGCCACATCCAGTTTTTCTGGCTCTGGACTCTGCACGACACTTTTTCAAGTGTGACAGGGAAGAGGTATGGTAGCCCTTGCACACAGGGAAGGCTAGCCATGGCACACGAGGTGCCCCGCTGGCCCTTCTCGAGAGCGGCGTCAGTTCGACGGACGGGGGCGGGGCGGGGGATGACAGGGCTTAGGGGGGGCTGTGTCTTTCGCGGGTGGCACCTTTTGGAACGTGATTAATTATTTTTTTCCTTCGGAAGTATTTGATTGAGGAGACCGCCACCAAATAGGCGAATCTCTCACGATGTACGTCTCGTTCTCAGCCCCTTCAATGCCAAGATACGTGCGTTTGGTTATCGTTCCCATCCCCCCCCCCCCCCCCTTTCCTTTCCCCTTCCCCCCCCCCCCCCTTTTTTTCCCCCCCCC